GTACCGGCCCCCGTGGGAGCTGCTCACAGTGTCCAGGGGGAAGTGGGCCTGAGCGAGCCCAGCCTGGGGCTGCAGGACAAGGCTCTGGGGGAGGTCCCGTCCCCCCTCCTTGTGCAGAGCGAATCTGTCATAGCCGACATCAGAGCGACACTGGAGGGTCAGGCTCTGTCCATAGGCCACGATGGGGCCCTGCTGGCTCAGGAGGGAGGGCTTCCCAGACTCACCTGGGGAGACCAGACATGAGTTATAGAGCTGCTCCTCCCAGAACCCCCTTCTCCTCGCCTGGTCCCTGAGTCTCACTGTCTCTCTCTGTCTCTGATCCATGGGTCCCTGTGCTTCCCTCACCTTCTCACGTGGGGCTCCTCTGCCAGCAAAGATGCCAATAATGTATCTGGTGCTTCAATCCATGGATGGGACAATAATGGGACTCACCTGGGACCAGGAGCTCCAGGGGGTCACTAAATGTTGAGCACACCTGGGGGCTGTTTCTGTAACAGCCATAGCATCTGAATGTCCACCTGTCGCTGGGGGTCACGGGGCCCACAGGGAACAGGGCCTGGTACCACCCACTGGGCTGTGTGGTGAGTTCAGGGTCCAGGAGAGCCTGTCATCTCCTTCCTTAGTCAGAATGAACCTGTCAAATCCCTGCCATGAGCCACACTGGAGGGTCACGTTCCCTCCTGAGGTCACGACAGGGCTGGGCAGGGCTGAGAGGCTGGGTTTGCTGTAGGATCCTAGGAGAGGAGGAGGCAGCGTGTTAAATGGGCTCACACCTCCCTCATGTCCCCCAGGGCTGGGCTGTGAGAGGGAGACACCCTGAGAGCTGACCCCCTTCCTGAGGGCAGAGCCTGAGGCTGGGACCCCTGAGTGTCCTCTTACCTGTCACCACCAGCTCCAGGGGGTCACTGCGCTCTGACCAGCCAGCAGGGCTGCGATAGTAACAGCGATATATCCCTGCATATACATCTGTGATGAATGTGTTGGAGAACTTGGCCTTGTCCGCGGGATCCAGTTGCTCCTGTGTTTTCCATGGTGCTGGGCTTCCCTCTTTATCCAGATGGTACTCCTCAGCCTCTGGAGACCCCTGACAGGAGATGGTCACAGGGCTCCCAGAAGGGATCACAGGGCCTGGCTCAGCCCAGATGATGGGTTTGGGGAGGGGCCCTGAAAGAAACCAGTAGCTGGGTTCTAAGATATTTCACACCCTCAGACCCAGCTCTCAGCCCAGGACCTTCCCAGGTGTTACCAGTCTGTTAGCTCAGAACACTGTCCTTCCCCAGCTGCCTGGGGGTGGCCCTCGCCCCCAGTGAGGAGTGGGACCTGGGACACCTGGGGAGACTCACCTGCCTGCACTGGGGTCCTGAGGCCCACACTCAGCCCTGGAAGAGAGTCCCTGTGAGAGATTTGCCCTGAGCCCTGAGCAGCACCCTCCTCCCCATGAGCCTCCTGAGTCCTGGGTCCTGACAGACCAGAGTTCCCCTCCCCACTCCCATCTCACCGAGGCAGAGCAGGGCCCTGAGGGTGCGGGTCATGGCGTCTCCTCTCTCTTCACCCGCTGTGCTAATGCAGGAGGCCACAGTGTCCTATGAACAGACAGACACACAGGGTGGGGCCGTTGGAAGGCTGGCCCTTGCTCGCACGGGGCTCTCATGTCAGCAGCCCACAGGAAAGGGAACATTCCCTTCCCAAAGGCCCGAATCTGGTTTTCATGGTGAAGCAGGAAATAGACCCAGAGCCTCCTGAGACGCCCCTATCAGGTGAGGTGACCCAGGGCACGTCCTTCCCTGTCAGAGCCTCCCCCACGGGGACTCCTTCCCCCTCAGCCCGTCCATCAGCACCTCCCTGGGGTCCTCACCATGGACAGTGTCACCGGGGCCCTGGAGACGCTTCAGGAAGACTTGGGTCCCTGTGGCCTGCAGAGCTCAGATCAGCAGGGACACGCCTACCCTCTCACTGTGCAGATCAGGGCGATGTCGCTGTGACAATGAGCACAGAGGGGAAATGCAGGGAAATAAGGGAGGAAACACGTCACTTCTCCCGGCCCTGACTGTGGTTTTCTTTCTCTCACAGCTGCCCTCGAGGACTTCTCTTTTTTTTGTAGCCACAGCATCTACCACCGCTTCTTGGGGACAAACTTCTGAGTTATTTTTCCTGCTCAGTGCCCCTTGCTTCCTGTATTAAAGTCTCCTCTTCATCCTGTGGTCCAGCCTTCAAGCTTTAGGGTACATTGATTTGGGTTGGAGTTCTGATATAGACTTAAATAAAATAAAATATTTATTAATTATGGAATATATTTACTTATTTATTTATTAATATTATTTTTTGCTGCCTACAAGAGACCATTGAAGTTCTTATTAAGATCCTTGAGGAACCTTATGACCATTGTTTTGAGCTCTGTGTCTAGTAGTTTGTTTGCTTCCGTTTTATTAAGTTCTTTTTCTGGAGATTTCTTCCTTTTTTTCATTGGGGACATGTTTCTTTGTCGCTGCATTTTGGCTTCTTCCCTGTGCTTGCTTCTGGGTATTATGTAGAGCTGCTATGTCCCCTGGAATTGGTAGGGTGGCCTTGCATAGTAGGTGTCCTGTAGGACCCAGTGGCTCAGCCTCCCCAGTTACCTGAGCTGGGTACTCTAGGTGTGCCCATGTGTCAGTTGTGTGCGCTATTTTGTTGTAGTTGAGCCTTGATTGCTATTGGTGTCACTGGGAGGAATTGACCTCCAGACCAATTGGTTGGGAGGACCAGCTGTGACTATAATGGAGGAGCTGCTGTGCAGGAGGCACTCCTATGGAGCAGTACTTGCTTCATTGGGGCTTTGGTGCTCATTGAGTCTGTCCCTTGAGTGCGTCTCTGGTGGATGTGTAGAGTTGTAATCTGGTATTGTCAGAAGCTGTTCACTGGGTACAGTCATTCTGGGGCCTCCAGGGAGATATAAAGTCAAATACTTCCTGGGGCCCCTGAGAGGAGCTACAGAGTGATCTGCAGATGGCTGCTATTTGTGTTGGGCTTGGAAGTGCCCAGGGCAGGCCAAGCAGTCAAGCCAGGCAGGCTGCTGCTAACGGCAGGGCTTTAGTCTCTTATTGTGTGTTATGGGACACAGGGACACCAGCTGCTGCTTGTTTGAGAGATTTTAGGAAAGTCTGAGTCCTGAGAAAGAACAGGCCATTCTTATGGGAAAAGGTGCTGCAAAGGTGGGGCTATGAAAGGGGTGGGACCGGGTTACCACCAAAACAGTATTTCATGAAATGTTAAAGGGTCTTCTGGAAGAAGAAGAAGAAGAAGAAGAAGAAGAAGAAGAAGAAGAAGAAGAAGAAGAAGGATGATGATGAGGAGGAGGAGGAATAAAGATGAGTGATAAGATGGCAATAAATACATATCCATCAACAGTTGAATCTAAAGATCAAAATAAATTAACAAGCCGAATGGATACAAACTCATAGGTTCAGAGAACAAATTGGTTCACACCTGATAAGTGGGGAGTGGGGAGTGGGTGAAAAGGTGAGAGGATTAAGAAGTACAAATTGATTGTTACAGAATAGTCAATGGGAGGTAAGTACATCATAGGGAATATAGTCAATAATATTCCAATATCTATGTATGGTGTCTGATGGGTATAAGATTTATCAGGATGATCACTGATAAGAACAGATACTACACTTGATCTTAGCCAAAAGGCCGAGAAGCGATGTCAGGATGATCACTTAGAAAATTATATAGTGTCTACTCACCATGGTGTACTCCTGAAACTAATGTTGAATTGTGTGTCAACTGTAGTTGAAAAATAAAAAATGATTAAAAACCTTTAATGAAAGGTCAAAAGCTACTTAACAGAAAACTCCTACTTAAATGATCACATGGGAAGGGTTTGCTGCACGTGATCAGCAACCACTTAGTGGTAGATGTGTCACTCGTGTAGGGTGTCGCTTTCCCCCCTAGTTCATCTCCACCTCACTACCTTGTGTGGGGAATAGTGAGGGTCATAGAACAGAAATGCTCCATCTGTGAGTAGTGACAAGTAGATTTATGAGTCATCAAATGAACATTGAGAAGAAGGTGGCCATGATTCCAGAAGACTCCATGGTTTCCATCCTGAACAAAACCACCCAACACTTCCCAACTTGTAATCATCATGGATTTCCTGGAATTCCTTTATTTTCTTTATTTGCAAGGTTTATCTTAGGTGTACATTCCTAAATAATACACAATGTCTCCTTTTCTTTAATGTCTCCTTTTTAATGTTGGGTAAATGGAATAATCCTAAAAACATAGGTTTATAATAGTCTACATGTATTAGTTATTATATGTGACGATGGATATACATGACCCTTACAATTTCATGTTGTGCATTTTGATTGATATATACTATTTGATAATTTTTTTGTACAGGACACCACAATTCCTCTTTTCTTGTGCATACAATCTTAGAGCGCTTTTTTCTGGGAAGGTGGTTAATAAGAATAACTCTTGTCAATGCACATGTGCACATTTTCTCTAAGGCATGTGCTTAAAGATGTAGCTGTGTGTCTCTAACTAGATGAGTGTCATGTAGTCTCTGAATTGATGAATATAATTGGCACTCCTACAAGTAATGCAGTAGGATTCTATGGACTCACGATTCTCTCCCACAACTGATAGTATAACATTCCTTTGTGCACCTCATCTGGATACGTTGGGACTGCAGTCTCCTGTTTTCACAGAAACTGTGCCCCAACATTAAAGTAGAAACCATCGTTACACATCAACTAGAAGGGAACGTAGGAGCACTGTGGGCTATCAGTGTGGTATTAATTGTTTCCCACATCGGATTGTACTGTTTTGTGAAAGTCGGTTTGTGCATCACCTCCCAAGTCTGGGTGAGGACCTTACATGGGCACTTGACCTTAGCCATGAAGGGGGCACATACACCTGAGAAAGTAAACTATGCCAAGAATCAATGTTTTTATATTAAATTTATTGGGGTGCCATTGATGAATGACATGACATAGGTTTCAAGGATGCACGTCTGTAACACGTTTTCTGTGTGTTGCACTGTGTTTTGGACAGTGGGGTTTTCAGAGGCAGCGCAGACCAGGAAAGCCCTTCAAACAACCAGGCCTTCATCCCAATGGGTGAGGTTTCTTCAGAAATTACACAAGTGGCCTCCAAGGGCAAGTGAGGGGCGGGTGGAGTCCAGAGAGGGCGTTAGGACCTCCTGTGTGTTTACCTCTTGCAGGATGGATTGTGCACTTTGTAGATTGACTACAATAGATGGCGTGCTCTGGACTCAGAAGATGGGGACTCCATACAGACATGAAAGTTCATGTTGTTAGACATAAAGAAAAACATATTCCATGCAAGTGTAGGGAGCTGTGTACCTGTACCTGCCATGTGGAATAAATGCTAATTTCACCAAAATGGGGAAAGTCAGAACCAGTCACAAGACTCACAGGGGTCGGGAGGGAAAGGACCACAGTTCAATGGCAGAAAGTCCAGACCTTGTCCCTGCACAGGAGCGATGACTCCTCTACCTGCAAGGAGCCGCAGACAGGTTCCTCAGCATATGTCCCACGTTATGTTCCAGAACCTTCCCAAGATCCCCCTCTCTGAACTGTGCAAGGTTCCCTCCATGATCATGTCCTGGCTGCATCCTGGGTCTGTTTCGGGCTATTTTGAGACCAAAATAGCAGCACCCCTAGTGCCACCAGTACCAATCCAGCCACAGCCAACCGGATGGAATTCTCCACGGTGTAGTCCTGTGGATGGGAAGCTGGGGATTGTGGGAAAAGAGGTCACAGAGGTTAGGGCAGGACAAAGTCACCCAGGACCCTGGATGCCCAACCAGGGCACTCCCTCCCTGTGAGAGAACAGGACCGTTTATGCTGAGCCCATAACAGACAGTGTCTCCTACTCACCACTCCTGGGGTCTGAGTTGTTCTGTGAGGGGCTGATGGTGTCGGCTGCTCCTGAGAACCAGGAAGAATTGGGATGTGTGAGGAGTTCATGCCACTCAAGCCCAGTGCCCCCATAGCTCTCCCCATTCTCATGACCTAACTGCTACCAGTCCCCCCACGAACCCTTTCTCTGCTGGAGAAGGGTCCTGCCTGCTTTCATGGATTCTTTCAGGCTCCCTGGGAATTTTGAGTTTAGACTTTACTTCTGAGTCACTTTGGATCAGAGTTTGGCTTTGCCTAGAGAATTCAGGATTGAGGAGAAATATGGGCTCACGATTTGAAAAATGGTGAGTCTCTATTTATTTAAAATCCTCACTGGAGGATATTTTTTCCATTGATATTCAAAGGGAGTAAAAGGGACAAGGGGATGGGGAGAGAGGGAGAGGAAGAGAAAAACGTTGATGTGAGAGAGACACATGGATCGGTGCCTCCTGCGCAAGTCCTGACAGGGGTCAGCTATCACACCTGTGACCCTCGACTGGGAATCAAACCCACGGCCCTGTGGGGCATGGGCTGATGCTCTAAGCACTGAGCCACAGTGGCCAGGGCCATAATTAGTTATTCTAATCTGTCTGCTCATTGTGGATTCTGTACCAGGGAAACTATCTCATCTGCATATGAGAGCTTATATTTTTGCAACAGCGAGGACCCAGGATCCACACATTTGGTCTCTAATATGTAGACATTCATATATGTAAAACCTGAGCAATTATTGAGTTAGGAGTGTGGACAAATTATGAATAAAACTACAAAATGCACCTGAAGTCAAATATTAACCATTTTACCCAGCTGGCACAGCCCAATGGTTTAGTGTCGACCAGAGAACAGGAGATCACAGTTCCATTCCTGTTCAGTGTACATGCCTGGGTTGTGGGTTCCATCCCCTGTGTGGGGCGTGCAGGAGGCAGCCGATCAATGATTCTCTCTCAACAATGATGTTACTGTATCTCTCTCCCACTACCTTCCTCTCTGAAATCAATAAAAATATATATTTTAAAAATTAACTTTTATAGCATCTTTTATAAGAAACTTCATGTTAATAAGAAGTTACTCCTCATAATAAATACATAGATTTGCTATAATCCCAATAAAAATAAGAATAAATCCATGCTTTTGATGTCATAAATGTTTGCAGGTTAAAATTATTTATGCAAGTATTGCCTACAATTCCCAGCAAATGAGCAATAATAGAGAAGTATGTGCAGAAAATGGAGAGCAAACTTGAATTTCATACAATGTCTGGGCAGGACCCCCTAGCTCCTCATGAGCGCTCCATGGTCCCCCTGAGTCTCAGGTGAGCACTAAGGGCCTGGAGGCCTCCAAGGGGAACAGGGCCTTGCAGAGTGGTGCCCACAGGTGGGGACACTTCTCACTACAGCAGTGGGTACGGCACCATCACCCACAGCAGTTCCCACCTTGGGCAGAGTAGCCACCTGTCCTGCTCTGAGAAGCTCAGGGACCCCACCTGTGTGGTGAGGGCTTCTATCCAAGGGGCTCTGGAAATGAGCAGCCCAGGGAGTGTCCCCCTGTCCTCTCTCCAACTCTCTGGCCTCTGCTCCTCCCTCAGCCTTGGGCCCAACATCTCCCTCTGCCATGACCACCCCACCTGTCACCTGCCTCACTTCTCCCTCTTAGGCCTGACTCCTTGGGGTGTGGGGAGAATCCTCAGAGACCTTGGAACCCAGTAGTTCCATGAAATTTCTCCCGGACTCATGGCCCCCTGGGACACAAGCCTGTCTTTGAGTTGAGGGTGGTGGTGGTGGGGTGCTAGATCCTCTAAGAGACTAAGAACTTCCCTGGAGTGGTCACTGTTCCCTCTGAGCAAAGGGGACCAAGGGTTGATCAACTGTGGACATGGTCCCTGTTGTTGGGGAGTCAGGGTACCAGAGGGTCTTGGGAAGGACAAAGTGTGAGACTCTGGGGCCAACCCTGGGCTCCCCACCTCACTCAGACTCCTCCTGCATCTGCCCTGTGGCCCCTCAGACACTCCCAGTGCCCACCTGGTACCTTCTGGACCAGGTGAGGGGGAGGGATGAGCCGGGGGAGGTGGGTCTCATCCTATAGCCCCTCACTCCCTTTCAAGCCCATAATCCTTCTGTGGACAAGACCCTGAGCTGACAGCTCAGCAGACAGGGCCGGGGGTTCCTCACCTGAGACCAGGAGCTCCAGGGGCTCACTGGGGAGTGACAACAGGTAGGGGGAGGTGCTGCGTGAGCTATAGCACCTGTAGGTGCCCACGTGGGCTGAGGTCACAGGACTCATGGAGAACTCCGCCTGGTACTGCTGAGCTCTGTGCTTTGATTTCAAACGCAAGGGGGGATCGGCTGCCCCTTCCTTGGAGAGAAGGAACGTGCCCCTCGGGCTCTGTGACTGACACAGCAGGGTCACGTTCTCTCCTGAGGCCACCCTGGGGCCTGGCTGCACCGAGAGGGAGGGTCTGTCACGCAGCCATCCTAGAGAGAGGGAGGGAGGGTGAGGGCTGCCTGCCCACCTTGTTCTGACCTGAGAGTCACCAGGCCTCTCTCTGAGGACCCACCCCTCTGTCTGTCTCTGTTTCTCTGAGTCTTCCTCTCTGCCCTCCCACCCCCTGCCTCTCTCTCCCTCCCTGGGCCCTGCACTGTCATTCTGGCCTCACCCCCTGAGGCTTCCAGCAGGGCCTGTGCAGAGTCTGGGTCCCTGACTGAACCCACTGGCTCCTCACCTGCCACCAGGATGTCCAGGGGGTCACTGGGGGCCGACCACTCAGAGGAGAGCTTGTATCCACCGAAGCATCTGTACCGGCCCCCATGGGAGCTGCTCACAGTGTCCAGGGGGAAGTGGGCCTGAGAGAGCCCAGCCTGGGGCTGCAGGACAAGGCTCTCAGGGTGGTCCCGTCCCCCCTTCTTGTGCAGAGCGAATCTGTCATAGCCGACATCAGAGCGACACTGGAGGGTCAGGTTCTGTCCAGAGGCCACGATGGGGCCCTGCTGGGTCAGGAGGGAGGGCTTCTCAGACTCACCTGGGGAGACCAGACATGAATTACAGGGGCTGCTCCTCCCAGTACACCCTTCTCCTGGCCTGGCCCCTGGATCTCACTGTCTCTCTCTGTCTCTGATCCATGGGTCCCTGTGCTTCCCTCACCCTCTCACATGGGGCTCCCCTCCCAGCAAAGATGCCAATAATGTACCTGGTGCCTCAATCCATGGATGGGACAATAATGGGACTCACCTGAGACCAGGAGCTCCAGGGGGTCACTAAATGGTGAGCACACCTGGGGGCTGTTCCTGGAACAGCCATAGCATCTGAATGTCCACCTGTCTCTGGCAGTCACGGGGCCCAGAGAGAACAGGGCTTTGGACTGCCCACTGGAGTGTGGTAAGTTCAGGGTCCAGGAGAGCCTGTCATCTCCTTCCTTAGTCAGAATGAACCTGCCAAATCCCTCCCATGAGCCACACTGGAGGGTCACATTCTCTCCTGAGGTCACGACAGGGCTGGGCAGGGCTGAGAGGCTGGGTTTGCTGAAGTATCCTAGGAGAGGAGGGGGCAGCATGTTAAATGGGCTCACACCTCCCTCATGTCCCCCAGGGCTGGGCTGTGAGAGGGAGACACCCTGAGAGCAGACCCCCTTCCTGAGGGCAGAGCCAGAGGCTGGGACCCCTGAGTGTCCTCTTACCTGTCACCACCAGCTCCAGGGGGTCACTGCGCTCTGACCAGCCAGCAGGGCTGCGATAGTAACAGCGATATATCCCTGCATATACATCTGTGATGAATGTGTTGGAGAACTTGGCCTTGTCCCTGGGCTCCAGTGGCTTCTCTATTTTCCATGGTGCTGGGCTTCCCTCTTTATCCAGACGGTACTCCTCAGCCTCTGGAGACCCCTGACACCAGATGGTCACCGGGCTCCCAGAAGGGATCACAGGGCCTGGCTCAGCCCAGATGGTGGGTTTGGGGAGGGACCCTGGAAGGAAACCAGTAGCTGGGTTCTAAGATATTTCACACCCTCAGACCCAGCTCTCAGCCCAGGACCTTCCCAGGTGTTACCAGTCTGTTAGCTCAGAACACTGTCCTTCCCCAGCTGCCTGGGGGTGGCCCTCGCCCCCAGTGAGGAGTGGGACCTGGGACACCTGGGGAGACTCACCTGCCTGCACTGGGGTCCTGAGGCCCACACTCAGCCCTGGAAGAGAGTCCCTGTGAGAGATTTGCCCTGAGCCCTGAGCAGCACCCTCCATCCCATGAGCCTCCTGAGTCCTGGGTCCTGACAGACCAGAGTTCTCCTCCCCACTCCCATCTCACCGAGGCAGAGCAGGGCCCTGAGGGTGGGGGTCATGGTGTCTCCTCTCTCTTCACCCCGCTGTGCAGATGCAGGAGGCCACAGTGTCCTATGAACAGACAGACACACAGGGTGGGGCCGTTGGAAGGCTGGCCCTTGCTCGCACGGGGCTCTCATATCAGCAGCCCACAGGAAAGGGAACATTCCCTTCCCAAATGCCCGTATCTGGTTTTCCTGGTGAAGCAGGAAATAGACCCGGAGCCTCCTGAGACGCCCCTTGCAGGTGAGGTGACCCAGGGCACATCCTTCCCCGTCAGAGCCTCCCCCACGGGGCCTCCTTCCTCCTCAGTCCGTCCGTCAGCACTGCCCTGGGGTCCTCACCATGGACAGTGCCACCCGGGCCCTGGAGATGCTCCAGGAAGACGTGGGTCCCTGTGGCCTGCAGAGCTCAGATCAGCAGGGACACACTCACCCTCTCACTGTGCAGCTCAGGGCGATGTCCCTGTGACAATGAGCACAGAGGGAAATGCAGGGAAATAAGGGAAGGAAACACGTCACTTCTCCCGGCCCTGAGTGTGGTTTTCTTTCTCTCACAGCTGCCCTCGAGGACTTCTCTTTTTTTCGTAGCCACAGCATCTACCGCCGCTTCTTGGAGACAAACTTCTGAGTTATTTTTCCTCCTCAGTGCCCCTTGCTTCCTGTGTTAAAGTCTCCTCTTCATCCTGTGGTCCAGCCTTCAAGCTTTAGGGCACATTGATTTGGGTTATAGTTCTGATTTTGATTTAAATAAAAGAAAATATTTAGTAATTATGTAATTATTTACTTATTTAGTTAGTTATTTATTAATATTATTTTTTGCTGCCTACAAGAGACCCTTGAAGCTCTCATTACGATCCTTGAGCAACCATATAACCACTGTTTTGAACTCTGTATCTAGTAGTTTGTTTGTTTCCATTTCATTAAGTTCTTTATCTGGAGATTTCTTCCTTTTTTTTTCATTGGCGATATGTTTCTCTGTCTCTGCATTGTGGCTGCTCCCCTGTGTTTGTTTATATGTATTATGTAGAGCTGCTATGTCCCCTAGAATTGGTAGGTTGGCCTTGCATAGTATGTGTCCTATAGGTCTCAGTGGCTCAGCGTCCCCAGTTACCTGAGCTGGGCCCTCTAGGTGTGCCCATGTGTGGGCGGTGTGCACTTTCCTGTTGTAGTTGAGCCTTGATTGCTATTGGCATCACTAGGAGGAATTGACCTCCATGCCAACTGGTTGCAAGGGCCAGCTGTGACTATAATGGAAGAGCTGCTGTGTAGGAGGCACTCTTATGGACCAGGACTTGCTTCAGTGTGGCTTTGGTGCTCACTGAGTCTGCCCCTTGAGTGTGTCTCTGGTGGATGTGTAGAGTTTTAATATGGCATTGTCTGAAACTGTTTGCTGGGTACAGTCATTCTGGGGCCTCCAGGGAGGTGTAAAGTCAAGTACTTCCTGGGGCACCTGAGAGGAGCTACAAAGTGATCTGCAGATGGCTGCTACTTGTGTTGGCCTTGGAAGTGCTCAGGGCAGGCCAAGCCGTGAAGCCAGGCAGGCTGCTGCTAATGGCAGGGATTTAGTCTCTTAATGAGTGTTATAGGGCACAGGGACACCAGCTGCTGCTTGTTTGAGAGATTTTAGGAAAGTCTGAGTCCTGAGCAAGGACAGGCAATTCTTATGGCAAATGGTGCTGCAAACAGCTGGGGTGGGGCTACGAAAGGGGTGGGGCAAGGTTACCACAAAAACAGTATTTTATGAAATGTTAAAGGGTCTTTTGTAGGAAGAAGAAGAAGAAGAAGAAGAAGAAGAAGAAGAAGAAGAAGAAGGAGGAGGAGGAGGAGGAGGGGGAGGAGGAGGGAGAGGAGGAGGAGGAGAAATAAATATGAGTGATAAAATGGCAATAAATACATGTTCATCAACAATTGAATCTAAAGAACAAAATAAATGTACAAGCTGAATGGATACAAACTCATAGATTCAGAGAACAAATTGGTTCTCACCAGATGAGCAGAGAGTGGGGGCTGGGTGAAAAGTTGAGTGGATTAAGAAGTACAAATTGATTGTTACAGAATAGTCAATGGGATGTAAGTACATCATAGGAAATATAGTCAATAATATTCCAATATCTACATATGATGTCCAATGGATATAAGATTTATCAGGATGATCACTTAGAAAATTATATAATGTCTACTCACCATGGTGTACTCCTGAAATTAATATTTAATTGTGTGTTAAATGTAGTTGAAAAATAAAAATGATTAAAAACCTTTAATTAAAAGTCAAAAGCTACTTAACAGAAAACTTCTACTTAAATAAAAGGGGGTAACTATTAAAATGTTTTAATTTATTACCAAACATTAAAAGATCAATGGACTGGCACAAGGGTTAGATCAAAGGACACCTGCCAATGAAACCAAATGTATGCAGCCATACAATCTGATCTCAAACAAAATCATTAAAGGGTATGTTGTATGAATAAAGAATGTGTTGTTATTATTTAATAAATTAGCTGATTGCTATATAAATATTCAACAATATGATGCAATAGTGTGTTATAAAAATCATTTTCACTTTTAAAATACTATATTAAACAGACACTTATCACCTATCCTTGAAATACATAAAGTCTGTACAAAATTGGAGAGTCAGCTGAACATTTATAGGATCAATGAAATGGGTGAAAAAAACTTTTTTATAAGAGCAAATGATCCAAATGCCTGGCCTAATATGTACAAATTATTAATCTTTGTATTATTTACATCATATAAATATAGATAAAGTTATTTGTAATGTATAATAAGGTAATATAAATAACAACAGAAAACATTCGTGTGTTTAAGACAAATATTGTACCTACAATATTTAACATTTATTAGGATAAACAGTCTCTTTACTTCTGTCCAACCTGCTCTCATGTGCACTATGTACCCTAAGTAAGTTGCAATTTAATTAGCAGTCAACCCTAAGAAGATATGAAAAGTCTCAAACCAGCCTGAAATAAGCGATATGCTAAATCAGAAAATAGTTGCTTGAATTTATGCATTATTAAGGAGAATGATGGACTTTTATCAAAACTTGGAGGCTGTCAGAAAGGCAGAGTAGACATCCTGAGAGGCATCAGCAGGATGGCAGAATAAGCGATTTCAACAATCATACCTGAATTCTGCATCAATTTTGAGAACCACCCACAGATGAGGGTTCCCTTGTGCAAGTCTGGGAGTCTAGCAGAGAAGTTATAGCTTTTGGCTTGAGCACAAAAATTGAGGATAGACACATTAAAGAGGATATGAAGACCAGTTTCCTTTGGAACCAAACCCAATCTGGCACTACTCCTGGGATGTGACCAAAAACCACCACCTGATGGTGGTGAACCCCATCTCTGAAATCACTCCACATCCACAATGCTGGGCTTCCTGCCAATTCACATTCTATTGCCATTGTGGGTCAGAAGTTCTCATGGGCCCGGATCAAATTCTGAATTGCATTTCAGGCCATATGCTTCCTTCAGAGCCCCAGTTTCTCACCTGGAAAGACTCACTGTGGGACTGGACTCAGGTGAGGCTGATCAGGCAGGTGAGGTCATGAGTTTGGAAAACACAATGATCACATGGGAAGGGTTTGCTGCACGTGATCAGCAACCACTTAGTGGTGGATGTGTCACTCATGCAGGGTGTGGCTTCCCCCCTAGTTCATCTCCACCTCAATACCTTGTGTGGGGAATAATGAGGGTCATAGACAGAAATGCTCTATCTGTGAGTAGTGACAAGTAGATTTATGAGTCATCAAATGAACATTGAGAAGAAGGTGGCCATGATTCCAGAAGACTCCATGGTTTCCATCCTGAACAAAACCACCCAACACTTCCCAACTTGTAATCATCATGGATTTCCTTGGAATTCCTTTATTTCCTTTATTTGCAAGGTTTATCTTAGGTGTACATCCTTAAATAATACACAATGTCTCCTTTTCTTTAATGTCTCTTTTTTAATGTTGGGTAAATGGAATAATCCTAAAAACATCATTTTATAATCATCTACATGTATTAGCTATTATATGTGATGATGGATATACATGACCCTTGCAATTTCAAGTTGTGCATTTTGATTGATATATACTATTTGATAATTTTTTATGCAGGACACCACAATTCCTCTTTTCTTGTGCATACAATCTTAGAGCGCTTTTTTCTGGGAAGGTGGTTAATAAGAATAACTCTTGTCAATGCACATGTGCACATTTTCTCTAAGGCATGTGCTTAAAGATGTAGCTGTGTGTCTCTAACTAGATGAGTGTCATGTAGTCTCTGAGTTGATGAATATAATTGGCACTCGTACAAATAATGCAGTAGAATTCTATGGACTCACGATTCTCTCCCACAACTGATAGTAAAACATTCCTTTGTGCATCTCATCTGGATACGTTGGGACTGTGGTCTTGTGTTTTCACAGAAACTGTGCCCCAACCTCGAAGTAGAAACCATCGTTACACATCAGCTAGAAGGGAACTTAGGAGCACTGTGGGGCTATCAGTGTGGTGTTAATGGTGTCCCACATGGGCTTGTACTGTTTTGTGAAAGTCAGTTTGTGTATCGCTTCCCAAGTCTGCGTGAGGACCTTACATGGGCACTTGACGTTGGCCATGAAGGGGGCACATACACCCGAGAAAGTAAACTATGCCAAGAATCAATGTTTTTATATTAAATTTATTGGGGTGCCATCGGTGAATGACATGGCATAGCTTTCAAGGGTGCACATCTGTAACACGTTTTCTATGTGTTGCATTGTGTTTTGGCCAATGGGGTTTTCAGAGGCAGCACAGACCAGGAAACCCCTTCAAACAACCAGGCCTTCATCCCAAGGGGTGAGGTTTCTGCAGAAAGTACACAGGTGGCCTCTGAGGGCAGGTGAGGGGTGCGTGGAGTCCAGAGAGGGCGTTAGGAACTCCTGTGGGTTTACCTCTTGCAGGATGGATTGTGCACCTTGTAGATTGATTCCAATAGATGGCATGCTCTGGACTCAGAAGATGGGGACTCCATACAGACATGAAGATCCGTGTGGTTAGAAATAAAGGAAAACATATTCCATGAAAATATAGGGAGGTGTGGGCCTGTACCTGCCATGTGGGATAAATGCTAATTTCACCAAAATGGGGAAAGTCAGAACCAGTCACAGGACTCACAGTGGTCGGGAGGGAAAGGACCACAGTTCAAGGGAAGGTCCAGAACTAGTCCCTGCACATGAGCGATGACTCCTCCAACTGCAAGTAGTCCCAGACAGGTCTCTCAGCATATGTTCCACATTATCTTCCAGAACCTTCCCAAGATCCTCCTCTCTGAACCGTGCATTGTTCCCTCCATGTTCATGTCCTGGCTGCTTCCTGGGTCTGTTTCTGGCTGTTTTGAGACCAAAAGAGCAGCACCCCGAGTGCCACCAGGACCAATCCAGCCACGCCCAACCGGATGGAATTCTCCATGGTGTAGTCTTGTGGGTGGGAGGCTGGAAATTGTGGGAAAACAGGTCACAGAGTTCAGGCCAGGACAATGTCATCCAGACCTGGATGTCCACCCAGGCACCCTCTCCCCTCGACAGGACACCACCATCTGTGCTGAGCCCATAATAGACAGTGTCTCCTACTCACCAATCTTGGGGTCTGAGTTGTTCTGTGATGGGCTGATGGTGTCAGCTGCTCCTGAGAAGCAGATAGGAGTGGGGCTGTGTGAGGAGTTGATGCCACTCAAGCCCAGTGTCCCCATAGCTCTCCCCTTTCTCATGACCTAACTGCTACCAGTCCCTCCATGAACCCTTTCTCTACTGGAGAAGGGTCCTGCCTGCTTTCATGGATTCTTTCAGGCTCCCTGGGAATTTTGAGTTTAGACTTTACTTCTGAGTCACTTTGGATCAGAGTTTGGCTTTTCCTGGAGAATTCAGGATTGAGCAGAAATATGGGCTCACGATTTGGAAAATGGTGAGTCTTTATTTATTTAAAATCCTTACCGGAGGATATCTTTTCCATTGATATTCAAAGAGAGTAAAAGGGACAAGGGGTTGGGGAGAGAGAGAGGAAGACAAAAACGTTGATGTGAGAGAGACATATGGATCGTTGCCTCCTGCACAAGGCCTGACAGTCGCCAGGGATCACACCTGTGACCTTTGTCTGGGAATCAATCCCATGGACCTGTGGGGCATGAGCTGATGTTCTAAGCACTGAGCCACAGCGGCCAGGGCCATAATTAGTTATTCTAATCTGTCTGCTCATTGTGGATTCTGTACCAGGGAAGCTAACTCATCTGCATATGAGAGCTTATATTTTTGCAACAGCGAGGACCCTGGATCCATGCATTTGGTCTCTAATATGTAGACATTCATATATGTAAAACCTGAGCAATTATTGAGTTAGGAGTGTGGACAAATTATGAATAAAACTACAAAATGCACCTGAAGTCAAATATTAACCATTTTACCCAGCTGGAACAGCCAGTGCTTTAGCGTCGACTGAAGAACAGGAGATCACAGTTCCATTCCTGTTCAGGGTACATGTTTGGGTTGTGGGCTCCATCCCCTGTGTGGGGCGTGCAGGAGGCAGCAGATCAATGATTCTCTCTCATCAATGATGTTACTGTATCTCTCTCCCACTACCTTCCTCTCTGAAATCAATAAAAATATATTTTTTAAAAATTAACTTTTATAGCATCTTTTATAAGAAACTTCATGTTAATAAGAAGTTATTCCTCATAATAAATACATAGATTTGCTATAATCCCAATAACAATAAGAATAAATCCATGTTTTTGATGTCATAAATGTTTGCAGGTTAAAATTTTATATGCAAGTATCTACAAGTTCCCAGCAAATGAGCAATAATAGAGAAGTATGTGCAGAAAATGGAGAGCAAACTTGAATTTCATACAATGTCTGGGCAGGACCCCCTAGCTCCTCATGAGCCCTCCATGGTCCCCCTGAGTCTCAGGTGGGCACTGAGGGCCTGGAGGCCTCCAGGGGGAACAGGGCCTTGCATAGTGGTGCCCACAGGTGGGGACACTTCTCACTATAGCAGTGGGTACGGCACCGTCACCTACAGCAGGTCCCACCTTGGGCAGAGCAGCCACCTGTCCTGCTCTGAGAAGCTCAGGGACCCCACCTGTGTGGTGAGGGCTTCCATCCAAGGGGCTCTGGAAATGAGCAGCCCAGGGAGTGTCCCCCTGTCCTCTCTCCAACTCACTGGCCTCTGCTCCTCCCTCAGCCTTGGGCCCAACATATCCCTCTGCCATGACCACTCCACCTGTCACCTGCCTCACTTCTCCCTCTTAGGCCTGACTCCTTGGGGTGTGGGGAGAATCATCAGAGACCTTGGAACCCAGTAGTTCCATGAAATTTCTCCCGGACTCATGGCCCCCCTGGGACACAAGCCTGTCTTTGAGTTGAGGGTCATGGTGGTGGGGCACTAGATCCTCTAAGAGACTAAAAACTTCCCTGGAGTGGTCACTGTTCCCTCTGAGCAAAGGGGACCAAGGGTTGATCAACTGTGGACATGGTCCCTGTTGTTGGGGAGCTGGGGTACCAGAGGGTCTAGGGAAGGAGGAAACAAAGTGTGAGACTCTGGGGCCAACCCTGGGCTCCCCACCTGACTCAGACTCCTCCTGCATCTGCCCTGTGGCCCCTCAGACCCTCCCAGTGCCCACCTGGTACCTTCTGGACCAGGTGAGGGGGAGGGATGAGCCGGGGGAGGTGGGTCTCATCCTATAGCCCCTCACTCCCTTTCAAGCCCATAATCCTGTGGACAAGACCCTGAGCTGACAGCTCAGCAGACAGGGCCGGGGGTTCCTCACCTGAGACCAGGAGCTCCAGGGGCTCACTGGGGAGGGACAGAAGGTAGGGGGAGGTGCTGCGTGAGCTGTAGCACCTGTAGGTGCCCCCGTGGGCTGAGGTCACAGGGCTCATGGAGAACTCTGCCTGGAACTGCTGAGCTGGGTGCTTTGATGTAAGATGCAGGGGAAGATCAGCTGCAACCTCCTTGGACAGAAGGAACGTGTCCCTCGGGCTCTGTGACTGACACAGCAGGGTCACGTGCTCTCCTGAGGCCACCCTGGGGCCTGGCTGCACCGAGAGGGAGGGTCTGTCACGCAGCCATCCTAGAGAGAGGGAGGGAGGGTGAGGGCTGCCTGCCAACTGTGCTGTGACCTGAGAGTCCCCAGACCTCTCTCTGAGGACCCTCCTCTCTGTCTGTCTCTGTTTCTCTGAGTCTCCTCCTCTCCCCTCCTACCCCCTGCCTCTCTGTCTCTCTCCCTCCCTGGGGCCTGCCCTTTCATTCTGGCCTCCCCACCTGAGACCCCAGCAGGGCCTGTGCAGAGTCTGGTCCCTGACTGAACCCACTGGCTCCTCACCTGCCACCAGGATGTCCAGGGGGTCACTGGGGGCCGACCACTCAGAGGAGAGCTTGTATCCACCGTAGCATCTGTACCGGCCCCCGTGGGAGCTGCTCACAGTGTCCAGGGGGAAGTGGGCCTGAGAAAGCCCAGCCTGGGGCTGCAGGACAAGGCTCTGGGGGAGGTCCCATCCCCCCTCCTTGTGAAGAGCGAATCTGTCATACCTGACATCAGAGCGACACTGGAGGGTCAGGTTCTGTCCAGCGGCCACGATGGGGCCCTGCTGGCTCAGGAGGGAGGGCTTCCCAGACTCACCTGGGGAGACCAGACATGAATTACAGGGGTTGCTCCTCCCATAAATCTCCTTCTCCTGGCCTGGCCTCCAGGTCTCACTGTCTCTCTCTGTGTCTCTGATCCAGTAGCCCCTGTGCTTCCCTCCCCTTCCCCTCTCAGATGGGGCTCCCCTCACAACAAACATGCCCATATGTGTCTGGTGCCACAATCCATGGATGGAACAATAATGGGACTCACCTGGGACCAGGAGCTCCAGGGCATCGCTGGAGTTTGAGCACACCTGGGGGCTGTTTCTGTAACAGCCATAGCATCTGAAGGTCCCCCTGTAGCTGAGGGTCACGGGGCCCACAGGGAACAGGGCCTGGTACTTCCTGCTGGGCTGTGGCTGTGAGTCCAGGGCCCAGAAGAGCCTGTGATCTCCTTCTTTCGTCAGAATGAACCTGGCAAACCCGTCCCATGAGCCACACTGGAGGGTCACATTCCCTCCTGAGGCCACGACAGGGCTGGGCAGGGCTGAGAGGCTGGGTTTCCTGGAGGATCCTAGGAGAGGAGGGGGCAGCGTGTTAAATGGGGCTCACACCTCCCTCATGTCCCCCAGAGCTGGGCTGTGAGAGGGAGACACCCTGAGAGCAGACCCCCTTCCTGAGGACAGAGCCTGAGGCTGGGATCCCTGAGTGTCCTCTCACCTGTCACCACCAGCTCCAGGGGGTCACTGCGCTCTGACCAGCCAGCTGGGCTGTGAGAGTAACAGCGATATATCCCAGCATCAAGCTCTGTCATTTCTGGGATGGAGAACATCACCTTGTCCCCAGGCTTCAGTGGCTTCTCTATTTTCCATGGTCCTGGGATTCCCTCTTTATCCAGATGGTACTCCACAGCCCCTGGGGTCCCCTGACACCAGATGGTCACGGGGCTCCCCAAGGGAATCACAGGGCCTGGCTCAGCCCTGATGGTGGGTTTGGGGAGAGGCCCTGGAAGGAATCCAGTAGCTGGGTTTAAGACATTCCCACCCTCAGTCCCAGCTGTCAGGCCAGGACCTTCCCAGGTGTTCCCTGTCTGTCAGCCCAGAACTGCTGTTCTCCATCCCGAGCTGCCTGGGGGGTGGCCCCTCATCCACAGTCAGGAGCGGGACCTGGGACACCTGGGGAGACTCACCTGCCTGCACCGGGGTCCTGAGGCCCACACTCAGCCCTGGAAGAGAGTCCCTGTGAGAGATTTGCCCTGAACCCTGAGCAGCACCCTCCTCCTCATGAGCCTCCTGAGTCCTGGGTCCTGAAAGACCAGGGCTCCCCTCCCCCTCCCATCTCACCGAGGCAGAGCAGGGCCCTGAGCGTGGGGGTCATGGCGTATCCTCGCGTTGCACCTGCTGTGCTGATGGAGGAGGCCACAGTGTCCTCTGAACAGACACACAGGGTGTGGCCCCTGGGAGGCTGGCCGTCGCTGTCACGGGGCCCTCAAGTCAGCAGACCCACTGAAAGGGGAACATTCACTTCCCAGAGGCCTGCATCTGGTTCCCATGGTGAAGCAGGAAATAGACCCAGAGCCTCCTGAGACGCCCCTTGCAGGTGAGATGACCACGGGGTCTCCTTCCTCCGCAGCCCGTCCATCAGCGCCTCCCTGGGGTCCTCACCATGGACAGTGTCGCCCGGGCCCTGGAGACGCTTCAGGAAGACGTGGGTCCCTGTGGCCTGCAGAGCTCAGATCAGCAGGGACATGCTCACCCTCCAACTGTGCAGCTCAGGGAGCTGTCCCTGTGATAATGAGCACAGAGGGAAATGCAGGGAAATAAGGGAAGGAAACACGTCACTTCTCCTGGCCCTGAGTGTGGCTTTCTTTCTATCATACCTGCCCTCACGGACTTGTCTTTTTTTTCTTAGCACAGCATCTACCACACCGTCCTGGGGACAAGCTTCTGGGTCATTTTTTTCCTCCTCAGTGCCCCTTGTTTCCTGGGTTAAATTTTCCTCCTCATTCTGTGGTCCTGCCTTCAAGCTTTAGGGGACACTGATTTAGATTAGAGTTCTGATTTTGAATGAAAACAGATATTTATTTGTTGTTGTTGTTTTTGCTGTTGTTGTTATTTGCAGCCTACAAGATTCCCACTTTATTTACTTATTTTAAATCATTATTGTTGAGAATATTACAGATATCACCTTTTTCTCCCTATGCCCCCATCCTCCTCGTCCCACCCTGCCCCAGGCCTTCATCACCCTATCACCTGTGTCCATTGGTAATGCATATATGCCTATAAGTTTTTTGATTTATCTCTTCCTGACCCCCTCCTCCTTCCCTCTGAGACTCATCAGTCCATGCCTGTGGTTCTCTCTTATTCTCATCTGTTTATTTTATTCATTAGAGTCCTTGTTTATTTATTTTGATTTTTAAAATATATTTTAATTGATCTCAGAGATGAAGGAAGAGGGAGAGAGAGATAGATATATCCATGATGAGAGAGAATGATGGGTCAGTTGCCTTCTGCAAGTCCCCCACTGGGGATCGAGCCCACAACCCTGGCATGTGCCCTTGATCAGAATCGAATCTGGGACCTTTCAGTTCACAGGCCTATGCACTATCCACTGAGCCAAAATAAACTAGGGCTTATTTTGATTTTTTAAAAAATATATTTTATTGATTTTTCACAGAGAGGAAAGGAGAGGGATAGAGAGTTAGAAACATCAATGACAGAGAAACATCGATCAGCTGCCTCCTGCACATCCCCCCACTGGGGATGTGCCCACAACCCAGGTATGTGCCCTTGACCGGAATAGAACCCGGGACCCTTCAGTTCATAGGCTGACGCTCTATCCACTGAGCCACACCAGTCAGGGCTGACTTTTAGATTCAATTGTTGATGGGTACATATTTATTGCCATTTATCATTCATATTTTTCTTTCCTCCTCCTCCTCCTC